TATCAGGGGCTGGAGAGATGGCTCTTGCAGAGGACCCAGGTTTGATTCCCAGCACCCACATGGCGGCTACGAACCATCCTTAACTCCAGTTCCAGGGGACTCCTAAGCCCTCTTCTGACCTCTGCAGCATTGTACAACATGGGTCCACTCATATACATGCAAGCAATACACTCATACACATAAAAAATAATAATAATAGAACTGGGCCTGGTGGCTCAGGCCTGTTGTCCCAGCACTCGGGAGGTAGAGGTGGGTGAATCTCTGTGAGTTCAAGTCCAGCCTGGTCTCCATAGTGAGTTCCAGGCCAGCGGGGGAAAAAGGGAGACCCTTTCCAAAAAAAAAAAAAAAAACCAAACCACCCAATAATAATAATAAATAAATAAATAAAATATTAAAAAAAAGAATATCAACACCTGAATGAGAAACTGGATTTTAGAATTTGTATATTACCATTTAAACAGAAAGCAGAAAATGATATACCTGATATTAATTTCAAATACAAAAGTAAAGGATCATACCTGAAGAATATATTGTGTGAGGTCAACTGCTTCTTTTTTTTCATGTACAAGTAGAGTTTCTTTATCTTCTACAGTAATAATATTAATTTCTCCACGACGTACTTCCCTTACACCTAAAGGCCGTTTGCGAACACAAACTCTGATTTTCTCCATGTCAGTCCAAGGATTCTCTGAGTTGTTCTGTCTAATATATGTTTACAAACAGACTTTAATTTTTAAATAATAGTATAAGGTTACTTAAATGGTCAAAGTGTCAGTCAGTACATTTTGAATATATTTAATATAATTTTTTGGTTTTCTTTGGTTGGTTGGTTTTGTTTTTGAGATAGGGTTTTACTTTATAGCTCAAGCTGGTCTGGGACTTGCTATGTAGCCCAGGTTGGACTTAAACATACAATCTTCCTGCTTCAGCCTCCCAAGTGCTGGGATTACAGATGTGTACCACTACAGTCAGGCTATATCACTTTATTTGGGACAGGGTCTCACTATGCAGTTCAGACTAGCCTGAAACTCATATTCTTCTTGTCTCTACATCTTGTGTGTTGGTGTTTCAGACCTGTGCTATCATGGCAAGCTTATTTTAAACAATTACACATTTAAATGCCAACAATGTAACAATGAGAAAGCTCTTCTATCAGCAATCCTGACTACTTCCACCTCTATCCCTACACCACCTTATTCATCACTCTACCACAAAAAGAAGCGGGGAGCCCCACTAAATAACAAAATTCTCAGTTATTTTAGCTCTAAGACTTGTGGTCTCCTAATGTCCTAATGGTATATGCTTTATGCTGGGTTTTTCCTAATTTTTAACTTTTGTCTTTTTTGAGACAGGGTCTCCCTGTAGCCCCAGTTGGCCTGGAACTCACTATATAGACCAGGCTGGCCTTAATCTCAGAGATCCACCTGCCTCTGCTTCCTGAGTGCTGGGATTAATGGCATGCACAACACCCAGTAATAAATGCTAGGGGACAAAACCATGGTTTTAATGCATGCTAAGTAAGCACTCCAACTGAACTGCATCCCCCAATCCTACATTCTCTTTTCCATCCTGAGGTTTACTAGAACTTGGATTAGGTAGTAGGTTCCAATGTACTTTTCCTCCTATTCCTCATAGGTACTTGCAGCTCTGCCCTTTGTCCTGTTTCTTTGTTTTTCTTGTGTGTGTGTGTGCCAGTACAAGTGTGTACACACATGCATGTGGAGGTCAGGGCACAACCTGAGGTGTCACTCCTCCTTAGAAGCTGTCCATCTTGTTTTTTGAGAAGGATTTCACACTGGGATCTAGGTTCACTGATTTGGTGAGGCTGGGTAGCCAGCAAGCCTCAAGAATCCACCTGCCTCTGCCTCCTCAGTACTGAGATGATGAGCATGTACTACCACACTGGTTTTTTTACATGTGCTGGGGATCAAATTCAAGTTTTTGTGCTTGCATGGCAAGCACTACCAACTGAGCCAACTCTCCAGCCTCCCTTACTTCTGTTTTGCCTCATCCTCATACGAATTTATTCATTTGTAAGAACATAATCATGTATTTCTTCTTCTCAGTAGGATTTTACAACTGGTCCTGTCTACTAATAACCCAACCTCCTATTCAATGCACTCTTTCACTGGCTTTACTGAACTACTTGAGCCTAACACCCAACATTTGAAGCTGTATTTCTTGGGTTAAGGATACAAAATTCATCAGGTTTTCTTACTGAGTCTTATGGTGGCATGTGTATCTAAGAACTAACCACTCATGTAGAAAATCCTCTAAAACTAGACAGCAAGAAAATAAGATTCTTGAAAGTATGTGGGTTTTTTGTTTTTTCTTTTTTTGGTCTTTTTGAGACAGGGTCTCCCTGTAGCCCCAGCTGTCCTGGAACTCGCTGTGTAGACCAGGCTAGCCTTGAACTCACAGAGATCTGCCTCCTTCTGCCTCCTGAGTGCTGGGATTAAAGGCGTCGGCCACCACGCCCAGCAAATATGTGTTTTTCAAAAAATTTTTATTATTTTTATTTTATGTGTATGTGTATATTGCCTGCATGTAGGTAAGTGTACCCATGTCGTGCAATACCCATGGAGGTCAGAAGAAGCTGTCAGATCCCCTGGGACTGGAGTTACAGATTGTTAGCTGCCATGTGGGTGCTGGGATTCGAAATCAGGTCTTCTGCAAGAACAACCAGTGTTCTTAACTGCTGAGCCATCTCTCCAGCCCCGAAAGTAGGTGTTTTTTGTCAAGTAGTTTGGGTCCACGTAGAAGAATGCCTTCACAAAACAAATTATTCCCTCCTTTACACTTTAAAATTTGATAGCCCCCTTAGCCCAGCCTGGTGGTGCATGCCTTTAATCCCAGCACTCAGGAGGCAGGGGCAGGCAGATGTCTCTGAGTTCAAGGTCAGCCATGTCTACATATTGAGTTCCAGGCCAGCTACAGCTACAGGGAGACCCTGTCTCAAAGACCAAAAACAAAATAAAACAAAACAAAACGAAAAACCAAAGGGCAAAGGAAAGCATGCTGTTTTCCTAATGGGTACTTTTTGGTTTGTTTGGTTTTCAAACAAAGCTTGAGACTCACTTGTAGCAAAGACTGGCTTGAACTCATATACACCATGCCTGGCACAAATGGTAGTTTGCCTGTCATCTCATTCATGTTGCTCCCTGACATCTAAAAGCCTTCAGATATCCTAACTCCCTTAGAGTCAGATATAGCAGATATTACTTAATATATGTCAAGTAAAGGTAATGGCAATATGTAAACTAAAATATATGTCTTCTAAGGATGTGTTAAATAGTGAAAAGTGGTATTTTTATTTATAATAATTCTAACATTTTTATGTGTTGTTCAGTAAGATAGTAGTCAAAAAAAAATTTGCTCTTTTACCACTAAAATAGTCAACAGGACAGCAACTATCCTGGCCTTCAGTCATGAAACAATCTACAATTAAAAGAAAAACAGTACTAAATGTTCTGTGCTCTGCTAGAGCAATTTTTTCCCCTAAAAACTATAAAATTCATTATGTATTTTTAAAAAAAGTTAGCGGTCAAAATCAGGATCATAATTAGCACAGGTGCTTTCACCTATAAAACTAAGTCCTCTAGTTTGGGGCAGTAAAGAATTGATCATGCTGGGTGTGGTGGTGCACGCCTTTAGTCCCAGCACTGGGGAGGCAGAGGCAGGTGGATCTCTGTGAGTTCAAAGCCAGCCTGGTCTACATAGTGAGTTCCAGGATAGCTGGAGCTACAGGGAGACCCTGTTTCAAAAGACCCCCCCCCCAAAAAAAAAAGAATTGATCATGAAATAAGACCAGATATACTTTATCTTAAGGTATGTCTAACAGCAGTTTAAAAAAGAAAATATATCTCAAGAATGAATTTTATTTTCCTCTAGCTCATATATTACTTGAAAATTTTTTGTTTTTGTTTAGTTTTTTTTAATATTTTTTATTTATTATTTTATGTGTATGAGCGTATTTCCTACATGTATGTAAATGCACCTGTGTCATGCAATGCCCACGGAGGTAAGCTTGTTTAGTTTTTTGAAACAGTTTCTCTATAGCCATAGCTGGTCTGGAACTCACCATGTTGACCAGGCTGGCCTTGATCTCACAAAGATCTACCTACCTCTGCCTTCTGAGTGCTGGGATTAAAGACATACGCCACCATGCCCAGCTACATATATTACTTTTAAAATAATATAACAAGCAATATATTTTTAAAAGAACATATTTTCTATGATATCATTCTCAGTATTAGGGATTACTCGATTTTTTCTATAACATCATTTTCAGCCTTAAGGATTACTCAGTATTTTACCTCTTGGGAATCTTATTTCAAATTTCATCTTGAATCATTAGGTGAAAATAGCTGATTGTCATTCTGACTCACAACCTCTAACCTCCACCAAAAGGTCTTACTCTTTAAAAAAATATATTATTTTTATTTTATGTGTATGAGTATATTGTTTGTATGTGTTTAAGTGCACCCATGTCGTGCAATGCCTGCAGAAGTCAGAAAAGGGCATTTGATCTCCTGGAACTAGTTAGGGATGGTTGTTGGAAACCATGTAGGTGCTAGGAATCAAACCCTGGTCCTTTGCAAGAGCAGCCAGTGCTCTTAAGTACTGACCATATCTCCGGTCCCAGGTCTTACTCTTTGTAATCACCAAAATCATGTTTTTCTAGAACTTGGTTAAAAAAAAAAAGTTAGCAGTCAAAATCAGAATCATAATTCAATGTGTGCAGATGACCTAATTGCTCAAAGACCTACTTAACTACCTACTCTTTGCTTTTAACTAAGTTGTATGTCATCTGGTTGGTATAAGTAAATTTGATAGCCCTAAAAAAAAATTCCTGTGAACTGTGTGATTTTTTTTTCCATTGTAGAAGGTAGGTTAACTATTTCACTTTCATGAATGTACTAGATGTATCACGTTGCACTATAATAAGTAATAGAACTAAGTCTGCTAGAGGAGTAAGAACAGATCCTGGCAAGCAGCAGCTGTTTGATGCATATAAACAGTATCATCTTTTTCCCATCTGGAAAGTTCCAGTTTCTCGGTAATTTGCCCCAATCCAATTATTGCTATTATTAATGCAAAACTTGTTTACTATCATTTTTGTGTTATAGTCATTTACTATAAATAAAGAATAGTTGCACTCCTCTGGTCATGAAGGAGTGATCTGTGTTTGTTTTGGGCTATCTCCCACCTCCCCACCCAAATGAAAATAAATTATTACCTGACACAAGAATGAGGGATTCCATAGTTATACCCTGAAATATGAGAGACTCTCTGAATAATGGGAATATCATAATTTCCTAGTTTTGGAGAAAAGTAATTTGATGAAAATAGTAGAGTGTTAGTTTCTGTTTGGATACAAGCATCAGCAGCAGAGGCATTTAGGATTCCTATTTTTGTATGGTACTGGGAATCATCTGGAAGCATATTTTTGAGAACTTTCAGGTAAGTGGGCTTCTCTTCATGTACAGAGAAATCTGATGAACTGCACATTTCATTTCTGGAAGTTCTGTCTTTGCTGTCAGCAGGAGAATCAAAATGCAGTTGTCTGCGGGGGCCAGATCTAAGTTCCTGTGGCTTGGTGTATAGGCTGCTTGTCTGAGCAGGAGGCTCTGCACTGATTGCTTTGTCTTCCTCCTGCATAATCTTAATGATTTTGATGAGTTGGAAGAGACGTTTTCGGTCGTTCATGTCATGGACTCCCAATCTGGAATAGTCCTTCATTGTAACCTTGGCTAATTCATCTATTTTCTGAAAGCCAAGTGCAGTAAAATGAGGATAATATTGTGCAAGTTCAGCTTCGAAAAGACATTCATATAACCAGGATGCCATTTTTGTGAATAGCTTTATATAAACCCTGAAGAGAAAGAGAAAGAGAAAGAGAAGTCATTGACTTGGAGTAAACAGAATATATTCATTTACAAAGCAAAACAAATATGCAGAAAAATGATTATCAAGCTTTTCATGTTTTTTTCTTCTGAAATGATTGATTAAACTGCAAATTGTATAAGCAAAGATGTTTTATATAGCATATGAACAGTTTTAGTTTGTTCAGCTGTTTAATAAAAAGACTTTTTAATTATATATTTAAGTAAGTACACGGACATACATACACATAAGATAAACCACTTACTTTTTTCTTTGGAGTTCCTTCTAACTTTGCAATATCCACTTAACACCTGCCACAAACTACTGGAACCTTGTATGCAACCACTGATTGTAGCAGGACTAATTTTAGATGTCCCACTTAATGTCAAGGCATGTTGCACAACTGTTTCCCAAGATTAATGAACAAAGGCTGAACTCTTTCAGAATAGAAAGCAGAATAAAATAGCAGGCCACAAAAGGCTAAAGACTAATACAACTAAGAGGAAATTGCATTTGTATCTGCTGTGCACTGGTAAGTTACTTAAACAGAAGTCCAAACAACCAATTCAGAATCAATTCATTCAGTATTTTGGATCATTCTAAAAGGTGGTCATAGATGTCTACTTGAACAGACTATCAATCAAATAATTTTCCTAGGAAATTAATACTATAGTTATGATTTTAAATGGCTACACATTAAAATACTTAAAACACCAGAAATTTAATTAAACATTAACAGACAATGTGGTAATAAAATCTTGGCCTATTATAAAAATCAGGACCCTGAGTAGTTCTCCATTATCACTATTAATCAAGCTCAAGTGCATAAGACTATTAAAAAATAAGTTTATATTTTATAGGGTTTTATTTTCAGACAAAGTCACACTTTGTAGTCCAGGCTGGCCTCAAGTTTGTGGCAGTCTTGCCTTGATGACCCAAGTGCTAGGATTATAAGCATTACACACTACACCTAGCATATAAATTTATATGTGCAGAAAAGCCAAAAATTAAGAATAAGAAGTCATCAAGATAGTGAAGATATTTTGTAGGCATTTAAGAAGGGAACAAATAAAGTTAGTTTAGTGATAAACTCTTCTATAATTTTTACTGTCAATGTGTAAAATGAATTATGTAAATAATGTTGTCTGTGTTTAAATGAGTTTTTCTGGCTATATTGTCTTTAAAAGTCTATGTGGAGATCATAAGGGGGTTACCAGGAACCTCAGAAATAACAATTTAAAAGTTTGGGCCAGGCATGGTGGCACACGCCTTTAATCCCAGCACTTGGGAGGCAGAGGCAGGCTGATCTCTGTGAGTTTGAAGCCAGCCTGGTCTACATAGCGAGTTCCAGGTCAGCTGGGGCTACAGGGAGACCCTGTCTCAAAAAGACCAAAAAAAAAAAAAAGTTTGGGAGTGGATGGACGCAAGCATGGCCCTCCCTGTTGCACAATAAAGCTCTAAAGTTAAAAAAAAATCTCTCTCTCTCTCTCTCTCTCTCTCTCTCTCTCTCTCTCTCTCTCCTTGTAGCCCCAGCTGGCCTGATTTTCACAAAGACCCACCTGCCTCCCAAGTGCTGGGATTAAAGGCATACGCCCTGTTTTTTTCTTTTTAAAAATGATTTTATAACTGAATATGTTAAAGCTATAGTGAAATGCTTCTTCTAATCATGTAGTTATTAAAAATTTTAAATGATTAAAAAAATAATTCATCAAGGCATAAAAATTTGCTCCTTAATAATCAGTAGATGTGAAAAACATTACCATTGAAATCTACCTGACAACTTTATATCCATGCTCAGATACCAAGGAGCTCAGAAAGTAACCAACTGTGACTAGTAATAATCAGATATATAGAGATTAGAAAAGCAGTTGCAAACATCTTAAAGTCAATTGCATTAAAATGAATTTTTCTGTATGAAACTTTGTATTTTAATAATGG